GGACCCAAGCACCTGAACGAAAACAGAACAACAGGCAGTAACAGGCAAACAAAAAACACACATTGTTTTGCCCGTTTTTCGGGTAGCCAAGGCTTTGTGTGACAAAAATCTGGCAGCTACTTGCCGGCTCACCCAGTCAGCCTTGCGTCTCTGAAAAAGCCCACAAGTCCGCCATCAACTCAAAAGGAACCAAATGGCACATTTTTATACATGTTTTACCTTTACCTAAAAATTGTAAAACAGGATCCCCAAATCCCTGCCAATCCACACTCATGTGTTTTCTTTATTTTGTCCCACTTCCCGTGGCAAAATATCTAGCATCTAATCAAGTACCAGATTAGTTTTCGGGGTCATGTTGTGCATGAGCAACAATATTAAAAGAAAACACAGTCCAGACTCAGCCCAAGAATGTTCACGTGGTATTTTTTTTAATCGCGCGTTACTTGTGGAGCTCATTGCAGATCTTTGCAACATTTTGGGCTGGCGTCATATGACATTTCCAAGCTGTTAGTTTGCGGAGTCCTATGGTGTGTGAGACTACATGTCGCAAACAAGGGCGGACAGTCCAGACTCAACCATTAATAAATTGCACATTTTGGAAATAATCCCCAAATCCATGCAATGCAAGCCCTATTTTTTTGGCGTTTTTTGGTCGTGTCCCAGTACCCCGAAAAAAATCCAATCAGGTGTCAAGCTAGTTTTCAGGGTCCTGTGGGGCATGAAGGACCATGATACAACAATCCCCACAGTACAGACTCAACCCATAAATGCCCACGTGGTACATTGGTAACTTCAAAAGCTGTAGATGTGCAAATCCATGCAACATCCTTTTGCTGGTGTCATTTGCTGACACGTGCAAGCAGGTGCTATGTTAGTTTATTTTGGGGGGAAACTTGTGGTGCATGAGACTCCTTGGCGCACGGTCCAGACTCAGCCTATGAAATTATGTCCACATGGCACATTATTATATACTTTTTGAAGTTGAGGAAAAAACGATTGCCAAATCCATGTAAATCTATATAGGTTTCTTTTTAGTGCTTGGTCATGTCCCAGCTTCTCTTGACACAACATCCTATCAGGTTCTATGTAAGTTTCTTGGGGTCCTGTGACACATGAGACTCCACGCTCGCACAAAAGGGCGCACGGTCCAGACTGAACCCCAAATTGTCCAAGTGGCACACATTTTCCTGTTTAGAAGCTGTGGAGAAAAAATAGGATCCCCAAAACACAAGTCTAGGTTTCCCTTTTGGTGTCTTTTGCCAAGCGCCGTACACAAAATATCCACCCAGGTGCTAATTTTAGTTTCTTGGGGTCCTGAGGCGAGGTGCTTGAGACTCCATGTCGCACAACGGGGCCCACAGCAAGGACGCAACCGAAAAAACATGTTCAAAAGTTGGCCCTTTACTGTGGGGACATGTTTGCCTTTCAGAAGTTGTAGGGGAAACATAGGGTATGCAAATTCATGCAAATCTAGGTGTGCGTCTTTCTTTTCCGTGGTGTGTTGACAGTTGCAAGCAGTTGCTAAGTTAGTGTTCCGGGCCCTGTCCGAAGACCAAACCGTGTCCGAGACAAATGTATTGTCATGCTTTGTCGGAGTGCTCGTTTTGTGGGGTTCAATACGCCCAGATGCCTGGTTAGCTTTGTTTTGGGACGAAACAAAACAAACGTAGCACCCCTCCAGTGCCTGAATTGGATGGATGGCGTAGCCCCTTATGTTTGTAGAGAAAAGGTGGCCATGAATTCCTCAGGGATGCTCCAGTCTATTCTGGGCCTGGTTCGTTCTAGAATAACTTGATGCGGGGGCCTGGGTTGTCTCAAAGAGAGTACATAACACAAATAAATGTAGCGACAGCGCATAGAAACAACTTACAGACTTCACAGAAGATGCAAATATACTCCATACCAACTGCATGTAAGATAGACAGGTATTTTCTTACAGGAACGAACTATGGGAAAAACACATGCCGCAAATACCTGTAATTTATCTGATTTTTTTGAACGGAAAGAAAACGGAAACAAAACGAAACCATTAGCAAATTCCGCATGATAAAAATCAACAACTCAACACTTGAACCAGTCCACCCTTGTCAACATCCTTTTTTCAAGGTTCTGGGGGTCTCAAGGCTGCCACAAGTCAGAATGCCGCACTTTACACGCAAAATCAGCAACAGCTAAACTCCTGACAAGTAATCATCCACTACTTCCAGCTAGATCTCCTGAGCCACCGCCTCCAAGAAAGCCCAAGCAACAAATAAACAAGCATTGAAACAAATCGAAGCCTGTTTCTACTTCCGGGCTGTGTTACCAATCGAAAGAGTCATTCTGAACCACAAAATACTACTTGGTACCTCAAGGTTTGAGAGCGGCACACTAAGCAAAACCAGGAAGAAACCTAAACGCAGTTGTAACCCCAAACATTTTTTCCCAACAGGAAGAAGAATCATAATAGAATTGATGCACGTTGACCCACCATTGGAAGCGACCCGCGCTGGATATGTCCCCACTAAAGTTGCTTGGGGGCGCATCGTTAAGAATTTCAGTACACCGCATTTTTGGAAACAGGGGTAAATGTTTCTGTTTGCTGTTCTGATAGAGAGGAAACAACAACCAAATCACAAATGTTCCCAGCAATTTTTTTGAGAAGGCTTCCAACGGGACAAAGCGTCACGCTCAAAGTTTCCTTTTACAGGTCAAGCACTTGATATGGTTTCCCCTTTCACCATATATTCCACACTCAAAAGCTCCTTTGCTATATTCTGCGGTACACTCAAGTTTGAGTATGCTCAACGATTTGATTTTTGCATCTAAAAAACAAATAGCTTATCATTCAATTATGTCAACAATTAAGGAATTAAACGTGAAAAGGACCTAGTTCACATTTAAATATTTAATTGTTTGGGGTTCCCATTTTCCAGAAACAATTCAATATGTCATGTATTTAATTTTTGAGTGTTGCTCGATTATAAAATTATAGACTTAAATGTGAAAAGGACCTATTCCACATTTGTTTTTTAATTTAGTTACTTGTTGGGGGTTTCTATTTTCCAGAAATAGTTCAATATTTGATTTATTTCATTTAATTTAATGATGTAATTGAATAATCAAGTGTGAAAAGGAACTATTTCACATTTAAATATATATAATTCTTTAATTGTGCGTGGTTCCAATTTTCCAGAAACAATTCAATATTTCATTTGTTTTATTTTGTTTGCATTTAATGTTTAATGAATTACACAATTAACTATTTTAATGTGAAAAATACATATTTCACATTCAATTATTGAATAATTTGATGGTTTGGGGTTCCCATTTAAAGAACTATTTAATTCTTAGATAATTAAATCACTACATGCGAAATATGTCCTCTTCACATATAATTATTTCATCACTTTCTGGAGAGTAGATTTTTGTCATTCGAGCATTGCTTTGACTTGAATTTCGAGCATTTTCGCACATTTAAAGTCACATTTGGCAAAATTCATGTGCACTACTGACTCACAATGGGCCATTGAGCTCTGATGGCAAACGGTAGTAAAGAGTAAGAGGCCCCAGTTTGCACCACACTAATTGCCGATCGTATCCAGCCTTAGAGTTCAATCTCATGGGTTGCAGTGTTCATCTTGCGCGCCACCTTCAAGCTTGGAATATCGTTTGATCCATTTTGCACAAAATTTCCCGGAGATTTAAAGAGCAAAAAGATTTGACTATTTGACTATTTGACATATGTTTGAAATGTCGAAGGATTCTGGGGAATTTACAGAGAGAGTGGTTCGGTCAGAAACTGTGCAACTGTAGATATTGGCAACTGCAGGTTGTGAGCAGCCGCATAAGTTTTTCTTCGGTCATTCATCCGGCCAAAGATCAGAGCCAATGCCAGAGACTACCAGATTCATCTATTTCACGCCTGCACATCCGTGTGGAACGAACCATTGCGTTTTCTCTTGGTGACGGAATGTTTGCCATTCGCTCCCTTTTACACACAGCAATACTGTAATTAACATATTTATAAGTGATAGTTCCTCTACGGCCTGGTGATTTCCATCCATGTGACGTTGGTTTGGGACGAGCCCCACCTGTAGATTTCCCCCGGATCTGTTCCTGTGCCTTGGCCGTAGAAAAAGGGGCGTCCATCCCGATGCTGTCGCCCCGGGACGGCCAGGCCTTGGGAGAGGGGCTGAAGGAAAACCGCAGTTTGAAGTGGCTTTCGCTCTCCGGAAACAGCATCGGTGATGTCGGTGCACAGGCGCCCGTTTGAGCTGCCGCCCTGTGGGGTGAAGGGTGGTGTTGGGTAGCTGGACCATGCTGGAGCTGTGGCCAAGACGGGGTGATCTCCAAGGGTTGGAGGATAAGGTTCATGTGAAGCAGAAAAGGTGTGGGAGATGTTGTTTGTTAAGTTCATACCCACCTGGACCCTCAAACGGGATATAAGATACAAGTGTTTGTTCAACCTGTGCCTTGGCCTCAGAAAAAGGGAGTCCATCCCTGGTGAGATATGTGTGACTACTGATCGAATGCCATTGAAACCAATTTGAAACCTTTTGAACTCTTTCATAGCTGGAAACATTTGCACTGCATGGTTTAGTCACAAGTGATGCAAATTAGGGGGTACTCCCCAAGTAGTGATAGTCTGATACTTAAATGGTACCCCCCAATTGAACAGCCTATGGGTTTATTGATCCAGGGTTGACATTATATCATAGTTGAATTGTGTTTTTGTTGGTTGATGTTTCGATTATTCTCCCATGCTGGCTGGAGCTGAGCCAAAAGGGGTCTAGAGTCTAGAAAAACTCGAGGGACTTCGCTCGCGATGAAACATCTTGGAGATTTTGAGTTGAAGACAGTGGTTTTTCGCAGTTCTGTGCTGAGATATGAAAAGCCGCGCTGCGCTTCAGTTTTTTCTACTCAGATAGCATTGCACGTTGGATTTCTAGGTGATCAGGTGGCTGTTCCCTAGGCCGTCGGATGGGATTTTCGGAGCCCCCTGGGCCGTCGGGTTGCCCATGCCGATGCCTCGGCGGCCAGGCCTTGGCCGCCGCGATCATCGAGAACCGAAGTCTGCAGTGCCTTCGTGTCGACAAATCCCTTCACAACACACCTGGTGGCAAGGCATCGGGCTCTGGGGCAGTGTAGGCCAGGGAGATGCGTCGGGTGCCGAAACCATTTGGCGTGCGACCTTCCTTTTGGCCAACCGAGATGTCTGTTTGTAACGAGTCAAAGTGACTTTCAAAGTGAATTGGATGATTTAATTTTCAGAAAATTGTATTGATTCAGTATTGATCGCAACGATTAGGCTCTAGACTTTCGCAAGTGGTTCTGCGCTCACCGGAGCCTCCGCATCTGTCACATCTCAGCGGAGACAGCTCCTCAGCGCGGCCAGGCTCTGATAGAGGCGGAGAAGGTGAAGAGAGAGCGGGGCGAGAGGTTTGGGATTGAGTGGCAGCTTGGCTTCGGCTCGAAAGAATCTTTCGCCAAGCTTCAAACTGATCGAAACTGGCTGAGTTGACAATCTGTAAAAAGTGATATAAGTGATTCAGTTTGTTTCGGCTTCGTTGGTGTTCCAGTTTGAAACCACATTCAAATAGCAACTTGACCTTATGCACAGTGAAGGCTTTGTTGGGGCCACCCACTTTGCTGCGTCAATTTTCGTAAAACCTCTCAGGCAGTTGGATTGGTCGGGACGCTGCACGTTTTCTGTTGACAGTTGGGCCCATCCTGCTTTCTCCATGCTGTCCTGTTAGTTGTTGGGTGTGCACCGAGGTGATGAGACTGAAAAGATCCGAAGTGACTTGACAGCAACTGAGGCACCAACTGTTTGTTTTCAAAATCCAGAGCTGTCCCTTGCCACCTCTGCTTGATTTGGTGTCAATCCCAGGGTTTGGCAATGTTGAAGCGGCCAGCAGCAGAAAGGGATGGCGTGGCAGCTTGGCAGAAGCAGAAGAATTACCGCAACCATGTAGCACTCGCGCAAAGATAACGTTTTTCAGACTGTAGGGGCGCACAACATAGCCATGAAGAGTTGAAACCTCAGAGTTTTCAAAGCAAAGCTTCAATCGCGCCATGCTTTGCTTCATTCAACATGGGTTGATTTGAGTTTTGCTATGTTTGATTCCACATGGTGATAGATCGCTTTTAGGCTTTTGCGTGCTTTCCTACTGCTCACTGATTTTCCTTATAAGCCTTATGGTGTCTGTAACCTCATCTCAGAGTTTGGGATTGCAATAGCCTTCTATCTCAAATGATGGTGTCGTGAAATGGTGCGGTGTATTGCGCACGCAAGCCATAGTAAAAACGAATCTGGAAAGTTCAAGTGGCTGTTCACAATGAATACGGGCTGAGGAAATGGTCAACTCACTTGTTGAAAGTCAGACAGGTCACGAATGGAGGAGCGGGGCTGAAGTTGATTCAACCCGAAAATCAGGTTCAGCTGTGTCTCTTCCTTAGCTGTTTCGTAACGTGCGTGCTGGCACTCAGCACTCGCGTGCCAGCACTCGCGTGCTCAGCACTCACTCCAATGCATTTTTCCGGGTGTGCATCCTATAGTAGATATGTTTATCATTGTTTATCTTGATTTAGATAGTGGAGGCTTTTATTGGAATAGGGAAAATGCATTGGAGTGACGATAAGCATGAGATATCATGAGATACTATCACATTCACGAGAGCCACACGAGTACCTCCAAGCGGCGTTGATTTTTTCAGCACCCTGAAAGAATTTACCCTTTTGGAGGAAATGGGGAAACTCCAGATGTTTTTTTTGGGAAGCGCAAAGTGCATCCGGACGTCAGGCAGAAATTCGCACGTTACCGGATGCTTTTTGCACAGAAAAGTAAATGCACCGAGGTATGAATAGGATATTAAAACCCAATGCGTTTCGAACTTGCAGTTTACTAGCCCTTTAAGGTCTAAAATGTGTATGTGGTTTTTCCCGGATCTGGTTAAATGCATTTACATATATCACAATGCTAAAAACCCACTGCGTGACGAACCTGCGTGCTAGCACTCAGCGTTGCGCGTGCTGGATCCGAGGCTTTTGGACATCGACAGAGCAAGATGTCCTTGAAGCTTGGCTGTATCCGGCGACTTTTGATTTCCTCCCTGCAGTGTCCAATCTTGGTTCATTGCGGCGGTTTACTTTGAAGGTGTGAATCTAGAAAAAAGTGAAAAGCTACCACAAAGACATCCCAAAGGTATTTGAACATCGTTCAGCCAGAAATCCTTGATGTTCTTCTGCGACCCTTGACTTGTTTCCCTTCCAGGTAGCCTTGTCCAAAGAAGAGTTGTGTTTTTTCCCCTCTCACTCTTCCTTTCCCTTTTCATGTTCCGTTCCCATCCTTTTCCTGTTTCAAGATTGACTATGGCCTTCAGATGGGTGGGTCTGAAACTGGCCTGAAACCAGTTTGAACCTCCAAAGCAACCGTGCACCCAGCATCCCTCCCTACCTGTGATTGTACAGCTAGAAGCTGAATCATTCCAAGGCTTTTGGACATCGACAAAGCAAGATGTCCTTGAAGCTTGGCGCTGATGGAAAAAGTCAATCATTAACAGAAACCATATTCTTCTTTGAAGAAAACGCTCCAGGTTGAAGTTCCGGTTGTAGCTTCATTTTTTCCTCTTTCTTTTCCTGTCACTCTTCCCTTTTTCCTTTTCCTTCTCCTAGTTTCAAGATTGACTATGGCCTTCAGATGGGTGGGTCTGAAACAGGCCTGAAACAATGTCGCGAGGTAATTGATTTCAAGAATTGTGAAGCTCGGCGGTGTTGCGATGCTGGCGTGAAAGGGGTAGCCAAACATGCACTTCATATTGTCATTTTATTGCAGGTACTGTAAACTTCTGCACCGTTTGCACCCCCGGAAATTTCAGATATAGGTTCAACTCTCGGAAGACATCAAGACGTGTAACAAAGCACAATCTTAGACTATCCTGGCAGGTTCTGCCGCAGAACTAAAGTTGAGGATGTGAGAGTGAGAGAGACCTTCATATTTGAACAAAGACTCCAAAACATTGGAAGACAGAAATGTATATGTGGAATCTTTGACAGCTGTCAGCTGTGATGATGCAGAGATACAAAGGGCCCAGGGTGCACTGCAAACTTTGTCAGCCTATGACATGACCAACATCTTGGAACACCAAGGCACGGGCTGATGGGTGGTGCTTCTGTTCCAATGGGATGTCGCAAGTGGAGCCGCACCTGAAAAGATATCACACACACATCCGCAACCAGCTAGGTTTGATCAATCTTTGGAACAGGCACCACCTTAACCATGGTACTCGCTCACCCTTCTTTGAAGCCATGGATTCGAGCTGCAAACGCGTGGACGGAAGGGCAAAAGCCAAGTCAATATGTTCAAAATATTTCAATAATCTACAAGCATATCTCTGAATATATGTTGATTTCATATTGTCCAAGCGTCCAAGAAGTCTTGGAGCAGTTCTGGCACCAGCTTCAGAAGGTTGCTGTTCTGCTTACGCACACGTAAGTGTCGCGGAAAATCGTCGAACTGCTTTCAGTGTGCAAGTTTCTTGACTTTTCCGCTCATGATCGTGCTTGCCTCTCTCATCATCAAGGAAAGCCAACAATTGGATGATTTTTGTCTTGATTTGTCTTGATTTCAGTTCGTCATGACAGCGTCATTTTGAGCACCCTTCAGTGCCTGCACCATGGTGATTTTTACGGCGCAGCGTTTTCCCCCCGGGTGGTGCAATAGAGGCGGTCCAAGTGAAATTCAGCGGACGGGACCGTTTCTGCACCGGTTTGCACCCGGTCTCACTGTCACAGACACAGCGAAAGGAGCGGCAGCATTCGGGAGGGATTGTTAGGCCCTGGTATTCTGATTTTTGTCTCCGAAACAGACGACCAACTTGGGTGGAATCAGGTGAAGAAGTTCTGGGAAATCTCATTTCTATCCATTTCTAGTTTTGCAGAACTGTTGGTGAAATTCCTTCTGTTTTACCTGGGCAGTTGACATTTATCTAGATTAAGAATGATTAAGATGACAACAGTGGCTGTGGCCCGGCTTTCAGAAATCCCATGGTGACTCCAGGAGTGCCCATGGCAGGCTCGTGCTGGGAGAGTGGCTGTGGTGTCAACATCCAGCCACGACTTACAAAATGAGTTGGTTACACCATTCATGGGCAGAAAAAAAATCAAAAGCCACTGAGCTACAGGAACAAAACGTACCCAAAGTTGGTAGTCGTAATATAAATGATTGGAAGGCGAATCAAATAGGACACCAACCTCAACATTAAGTAAATTTGAGCAACCGACGAAATTATTGTAATACTAATTCGGTCTTACGTCGCCTTTGCCTTGCTGAGGGGTGTGCAAAACCTTCAGTACCGATAGGGGACGACCCTATACCGATACCCTGTTTTGCATGAGTTGCCTCAAAGTCTGAGAACGCAGAAATCTTCACAACGATAGGGGACGATCCTCATTTGTGCATGGCACGAAAATGAGCAAATAATTTTGTCCGCTATTCAAATATGACAGTTTGGTGCTCGCAGTAGAAACATGTGTGTTCGGGGGTGTCATCTCATATTTGAGGCAGGCAGCTGTTCTCTGTTTCCTTGTGACCGACATTGCATCCCTTTGTGACCGAGATTGCATCCCTGATGTTTTGGAACCATCAATTTGGTAAATATAACATAATCGAAGGAAGTTTAGAAGTCAAACTTCCGACAATATGGAGAGATGAAAAAGCAGTCAGCAGGGAGAAGAGTCAGAAGAGAAAAGATCAGAAGAAAGAAGATGCAGATGCGCGAAAAGGTAGGAAAGTCACGAAACACTGTGTTTTTTCGTGGTTTTGTGGCTCCGGAGGGTTGAAAAGTAGGCTCGCTAAAGCGGCGGGCGCGGAGACATCTGGGAAGATGAGAGATGAAAAGTTGCACGCCGTTGTGGCGCGAAGCCGATTAACCCAGCTTTGCAACCCAACAGCATACCTGAATCTTCCACCTACGTCTTTTTTCAGACCCTGTGCCAAAGTCCTGTTTTTTCAGTACCCAGAAAACTTTTCAGGACCTACTCTCAAATTCAGGACCTGGCCATTTTGGGGTATCAATGGTAATGGCAATCATTGGGTGCAAACATGTGAAACCAACATTTGGTGGATATTCAAGCCATTGGCATTGATCCACGCAAATAAAAGCACTCCCAGCCCAAACTCATGGCAAGGCAGGATCAGAATATAGTATATTCCAGAAAGTATGTCAGAATAGATGCCAGATAGGATGCCAGAAAGAATGTCAAATAGAATCTCAGAAAAGAATGTAAGATAGTATGTCAGAACATATATGCCACATATACGTCCAGATGATATGTCAGAAACTATGTCAGAATAGTGTGTCAGGGTGGGGATCACTCTTAGTAAGGCAATTTTGAAAATATATTTCAGGTTCGGAATTTTCAAACTGTTGTCCTTCAGGCGCCGAAGCTCC